GGAATCAAACGCTAAACTTCCTAAAATTACAAATTTTTTAGTTGCACAAAATATAAATAACTCGTGTAAAAATTCTGAAAATTAATAATAGTAATTGTCTAATTTTATTCATATAACGATTTTTAGRGGCCATAAAATAATATTGCACATGGGCTAGAATTTTATAGTTACGCCACTGTTACGAAGAGTAGGGTCCAATGACGTCACGCGGCTATTTTACATTTTATAATATCTCTTAAAGTAATCATTTTTTTTGCATCAGATTTTCACTTAATCATTTCATATAGCCATATCTACAATAAATAATAATTTAACATTTAAAAATAATTTAAATATTTATTTTTATTTTATTTTAAGTACTTATGGAAAATATTGAAAATATTTTTTAAACTAAACAAATATCAGCATCACTTAATATGATGTTAGAATGTTATTTTTGTTGCAAATAATCTTAACACAGAATGTGTAACATTAAGACAATTGGAAAAAAGAAGGGATCCCACGATAAAAAAAACAAATGATAAAATACCTATCTATTGTTATTCATTTTTAAATAACAAAATCATTCGATGAAAAATAAGATGAATTTCTATACTTCAGAGTTGTAATATGACTTACCTACCATTAAATTTTTTGATGAATGAAGGTCTAAAAACGAAAAAACGTTCATTAATTATTGTAAAATATATTAACATAATATTTTTCAAATCTTGAAGAAAAAATAAAAAATGATAAATTAGTCTAACAAAAATTATTGTGGATTTAAACTAATTACTAAACTTTTTTTTTTAACTACACATAATTTAAGATTTAACGGGAATTTTCTCTTAAAAGCAGTTTTTGGCGTAACTCATAAACAAAATATTAATACTTTCATTTCCCCCATCAGGGGGGGACACTTGCCACTGCCTAGAAGTTTAAATTTGCTTTCCAAGCCATTATCTGTAACGCATCAATTTAGTAAACATATAAATTACTTTTAAAGTGTAAGTATAAAGGTATCCGGACAATTACCCCCCCCCCACCACCAACTGATTTGGCATAGTAGGAAATTTCCCCCCAATATATTTTCGATACGGACATTTCCCCCCCATTTTTTTAAAGTTTATTATTGAATAATATAATATAATTTATTATTTAATTAGAAATTATTTTTTTTCATAAATATAATCAATTATACTATAATTACCTATTACAGTAGATGTATATTTTTGATCAATTCAACTACTTGAAACAATAAAATAATACTAATATTATATTTAAAAGATTTATAGTATAAATGTATAAAGTTAATTATAGTATAATTGATTATATTTATGAAAAAAATAATATTTTATTAAAAAAAAAATATGTAAAAAAATCTTGAATTATTTTTAAATTAATTTTGCTCTTCCCTAGAAAAATGTCTTGAGAYGTCCATCAATATTTTAAATCTTCACCAAATATTATTTTATCATATTCTATGGATAACAACATTTTGACTCTTATAGAGCTATTTACAGGAAAACAATTATCAATTTATTTACAATTATTGTCTTTACATGCAATTTTAATTTTTGATTACTTAAAATACATTGAACATTTGGTACAAGATTTCTCTAAGTTACTATCAGTGAAATCAATAGAATGCTACATGGTCATAGAATAAATTGAATTAGTGAAATTGGTATGTATTGTCCCTATCTTACAAATGTACAACAGCAAAAACTGTATTGTGCAGACAACTCTGTATAGCACAGAATATACGAAATACATATTTATTTTATAATATTTCATATATTCTGTACTATAGGGACAAACATTATCTATATCATTGTGATTTTATTAATTAGTGTAAATAAAAGAATAATACATTAAAGACTAGTTGGGTTTGTTATAATTATTAATTTATTTTGCTGACCACACTATCAAGAAAATTTTTTCGGGAACCTATAACTGTTTAATTATTTAAATTTGAACTTTTTAAGATAATTTGTTAAACCAATCTATCTCATAATGTTAAGTCAATGTTAGTGCTAACACTTTTATTATTTTATTATACACTCACTGTTTACAATTTTATATTATAAATTGAAATACTCAATCGTCTTATTATGTTTAAAATAAAATTTAAAAAAATCTTACATGCATATCTCTTAATACACTTATGATTGATTATTTTTTAACTCAAAAACTACATCATAAAATTATTTATAACTTTATAGATACCTTATATAGGGTGTATAGACTAAACATTTTTTTGCCATAATACAAAAAAAAATTCAACACACAATGGGGAAACCATTAAAATATTGATCAGATCATATTAAGAGGAYGCTACACCCGCCTGTGTTGTCTCCGTCTTACAAGTGCGTAACATTGCAAAAACTGTTTCACACTTGTAAGACGGAGACAACACATGCGGGTTTAGCGTCCTCTTAAATTAGAAAAAAAATATTTAGTGCATTAGAAACAGAATTATGAGAGGAATAAATTATGAAACATTGTAAAACAAATAAATGTTATTATTACTCTAATGGTATACTAGTTTCTGTATTATAAAGGAATAAAAAAAAGTAATAACATTCTTAGTAATATTAAATATAAAAAAATTAAGGAATTATAAAAATGGCATATAGTAAAGCGAATAGAACTATGAGCTAATTCATCTTTAAATATAAAAAAATTAAGTAGATTAAGTTATATAATCTAAATTTTATGGTTAATACAAGACAGTGTTATACTGTTATATATACTAAAGATCTACCCATAAATTAAAATTAGTATAATAAAATTCTATAGATCAAATTAAAACATTAATACAATGTTTAATATTAGGTTTGTTATTTTGAGAATTTTTAATGGGTTGTAAATTTTTTTAATTTAACAAGAAATTATTCAATGATTGCCGATGAAACCATTTGATTGACTCCACAAGATCCATCACCTCTGTAGAGCAAGTAGTAACCCTACAACAAATATATTATTATGTATTGTATAAGTCAAAGTTAAAGGTTATCACAACACTAAATGCAAGTTTAATTACATTATAAGTATGCCATTATCAAAAAAAAAAAAAAAAAAAATTGAGTGGGTTTCATTCTTAAACACTAATTATTATAGAGTCAAAGTCTGAACAGCGGTGTTTGTTTTTCAGATGAAATTTCAAAATTAATACAATGATTTCAATCTTTAAAGTTAATATTTTTTTTTAGTTTTTTATGTTTTTGACACTGATATAGTTAATTTTTTCATAATAAATAAAACTATAATACAATTTAGCAATGCATAGCAATATGATGCGAGTCATGAATTTAATAATTTTAATTGATTATAATTTTTAATGTGTATAAAATAATAATTTTAATTTAATTTTAAAAAAAAACACCACTGTCTCAAGCACGTAATATTCTTGGAAATATAAAAAAAAATGTTCTGAAATACTGAAGTAAGTTATTAAAACCATTGTAAATCAAACTACTTTTACACTTTAGTTATCATGGACAACTACTCGTCAGCTCTATTCATAAGCTCTCATTATTTTATTAAATAATAATTTATTCAAATTTTTACCAAACGTTTTTCATCATTTTGACTATATTAATACACCAAAAAACTTAAGGTTGTGATGTTCTTTAATCCCAATTAAGCAAATAATGGTATAAAGTATATACAAACAAACAAATTGTGTCAAAGTATGGCATGGTACATATTTTTCCACAATATTTGGACTATTATTTTAATTGTTAAAAATAAGCACCACATAATTATTGATAAATTATGATTTATTGTGTGGCTTAATTTTTACAAGCCCGTTACCTGCATTCCCCATTTGTCGCCCCAACTGTTTTTAATGGTCCAAAACGGTAAAGTCGCATTTAAATAAGGGTATTCTGAAAAAAAACATATACTTTAATATGAGTTTAACTTACTTTTTCTCCCCATCCAGGTCCCCAACTATTTTTAATTAACCAATATGGTAAATTTTTGTGGGTATATTTAGTTCCTAAAATGAAAATATTTAAAATTAACTTTATTTAATTTAATTTATTGATCTAACTATTATAAACAAATAATCTTTTAATTAGAAGATTATTAATGATATTATATTGGTACATAATTAATTAATTATTATGAAATACAATGCAATAACTTACTGTGGACTCCATATCCAACAATGGCCACACCGTGATCCAGTGATTTGGGGCTACATAAGGCATGGATTGGATGTGATACACCACCCAAATAAAACTGAAATAACGGCAGTGTTTGAGTGAAATGTAAAAGGTTAATGCAGATAAAGTGAAATTGTGCAAAACATCATTACAGTTTCCCCACCAGACATTACCTCATATTATATAATGTTGACATTTTGTATGACATACCTGCATAGCATTAGCATTAACCCCAACAGAAAGAGGTCCATGTTTAACTAAAAATTTGGCAATATCTTCTTCGTCTGTAGATACATTTACAGCTTTGGAAATTGATACCTTCACATCACTTTTTTTTAACTGACAACCTTTTCGATCTACGTGACCTTCATATGGATAATCTGACTCTGTCTCTAAACCTCCTAAATTTTCAACAGCTTCAAATGCTTGAGTCATTAAACCACCACCACACCCATTATCCAAATTGTCACAATCAATCAGTTCTATAAAAATTAAGCTTACATAAATAAAATAATAGATTAGGATAGCTTATTTTGTGAGTGCTAAATTCTGGTTTACAAATATTTTTTTAATAGATCACATTAATTATAATTGACAATTTTAAATGAATTTGGCACTTTTTATTACGATACCTATTTTTATGAGATTAGCTAGTATGATTGTATATTAAAATTTAAAACTAAACAAATAAGTATTTCAAATTTTTAATATGTTTGATGTGTTAACTTCTTTATGTACCTCACTCACCATAAAAAAAAATGGGTCTAGAGTGAATTGGTAAATTTGATGTCACAAAATAGTGTGCCCAACACTCAGAGCCCAAGCATACGTAGTGCATTCATAGTGACATGGTGTGTGTAATGTAAATATCACATGATATTTTCTTAATATTATTAATAATTTTTTTTTTTTTTTTTTATTGATCAAAGTACATCGACAACTATAGGTCATTAGTAAAAGAAATTTTTTTTTTTGTTACTTTTTTAGTATTTTAAGTATGCATTTTCTACATTAAATTAAATTGTACAATAATTCTGTTTTTTTTAAAGAATAAAATTAAGTTTTTTTACATCCTGAGGGTTTGGTCCAAGTGCTTGACAGATTTGTTCGGATATGTGAAATTGATTTCGATACTGGTTGTATTTTTGATAATAAGTGATGATGTGGTTGATGGTTAGAAGTACTTTACTCATCAAGTAGCTGTGTGTTAAGTATGTGTGACCAATTCGGAGGCGGCTTATCATGGTTTCATCTTTTCTATTGAGTTCAGGATTTTTCCATGGGTTTATATTATTTTTTATTTTGTTGAGTTTGGTGTTGAGTTTTCGCCAGTGAGAGAGCCATTTATTATTTGAGTGTAGGTTTATTTCGTTCTTTGCATCTGCGAATGTGATGGAATTTATGGTTGGAGTTGATGTAGAGACAATTGCATTATAAGCTTCTTGGTCAGCCATTTCATTTCCGGGAATGCCTATGTGCCCCGGGATCCATACAAAAAGGATATGTTTATATTTTTTTTCCTGCAAGTAAAGTGTCCTCTTGTATGAGCTTTGTGATATCTGGTTGGTTTCGTGTATTTGTGATGGCGATTAAGTTGCTGAGTGAGCCGCTAAGTATTATAAATTTGGTTTGGTGGTTTGCGTATTCTGTGTGAATACATTTTACGGCTTTGTATATTGCCATCGCTTCTGCTGTAAATATTGATGCTTGAGGTGAAAGTTTGTATGCTATTGTTTGATTGTTTATTATCATTGCGAGCCCGACTCCGTCATTAGTTTTGGATGCATCGGTGTATATGAGTATGCTGTTTGGATGTTCTTGCAAAATGTTTTTATATATGGAAGGCAATGTGTTATCTCTTTTGAATTCAGTTAGAGTAAGGTTAACATTGAATGTTGTGTTCCATGGGGGGAAATTATATGGTTTTCTTTCTATAATATTGTTTATTTTTATATTATCTTTTTCGGTTTCCTGTATATATGCATTTATTACTTTGATGACTGGGTTATTAATGTTTCTTTTGGTTCTGGCACAATATTATTAATAATTGTTATTTATCATAACCTACATTTTATAAACAGGCACGAGTCATGGGACTAATGTTAACACATCAAAATTAAACGTCAGATACAAAATCTGACACACACACACACTATTTTATTATTAATATAGTATGAATTTATTTTGAATAGAACCATTATAAAATTATTTATTTAATCAACTGTAGTGTAAAAAAATGAATCTATTTATTAATTTAAGTCTATAATTAAATGTATTACTAGTTTATTATTTTTTATTAAGAATATTAACACTAAAATGGTAAAATTATTATCAACAATACCATAATATACTATATAGCTTTATACTGATAAATAACAGACAGAACGGGGATATGTCTTAAACTTATGTTTGGAAAACTGACAATCCAACTTTTTAATACTTTTACTCAATTTAATTTATAAATTACCTTGTTCTGAGAGAGATAAAAGTTTTTTGGATTTAATAGCATACTGTCCTTCAATATTGGCTATGGCTGAGAACGCCCAACAAGAACCACAAGCTCCCTAAAACGACAATATAAACGTAAATTTGTCATTTTATTCCCATTTTTTATTTGATGTGCTCTACATATTTTATGTAACATAAAAATGTATACATCTATTTATGATTATAATTTTTATAAATATTATTATAGAACTTTTATTATAATATAAAATTATAAATCAACAGTTTTTAAATACCTGATTTTTTACTGGTGTCACTGCATCATGGTCTCTCCAGTCAAATTCATTAGGAATAGTGGCACTTTGTGGAATAACTGCCATGGGTAATGTTTTTTTATTTGTCAAAGATGAGTCCAGGCCCAAGTGTTTTTTTTTAAATTCATTTTCTATCAAAATATTAGAATCTTATTGTATTATTTAATAACAATTTTTTAGTAACCATAAGTACAATTTATCTGATTGTAAATTGTGAAAAGAAAAATATATTAAATGAGTTTTCTTATTGTCTTATTGTGTAAATAATTACTAGGGTTCGGATTTAAATGCTATTTCAAAAAATGCATTTTATAACTCAGAAATTCTAAAAAACTCAAGAAAAAAATATGCAAATACATTAAAACCTAATTCTTAGTGATTAAAATATTAACTAAATGTGCTTTAATGGTGTAATATGAAACTCCTTTACTGATTAAAAGTTGTTCGAAGATGTAAAACGTAATTTATTAATGAAATTCTGAAGTCATTTTAAAGAAAAAAACACACACACAGTACGACAAATTTGTTAAAAACTTTTTAAATTTTTTGTTATTAAGAGGATGTGATACCCGTAAGTTGTCTTCATCTTCATAAAATACCAAATTTTACGCTCAGCAGAACACGTGTAGTTTTGTTATTTTTTTAAATTTAAAGTGATTTGATCTCTAATAAAATTTAAAGATAAGATTATTATCAAGACAACCCCTCATATACTTTTTATCATATTTTAATTTTAGATCGAGTTACAAATATTTTAAGATGCAAGAACTGATTTACAATTTTTAAATACTCATAACTTGCCCTAAAATAAAAATATGATAAAAAGTATAAGAGGTTGTTTATATAATAATCTTACCTTTAATTTTTATTAGAGGTCAATTCACTCTATATTTTAAACAAACACAGCTACATGTGTTTTGCTGAGTGTAAAAATTGATATGTTACTCACTTGGTAACGGAGACAACACATGAGGGTACCATGTCCTCTTAAGAATAAAAACATCAATGATAACTTGTAATTTAAAACATTTTTTTTAAATTATATAATTTATCACTTGTAAGATCTGCAAATTGTGTAGCTCCATAAATAGCACTTCCTTGTTCGTTGTTTTGCAATAATTTTACTTTCTTCATATTAGCAGCAAATATTCGGAATCTTCTATTTTTTTCTCCAATGCTAGTATAAATTTTATTATGTGTCATAATAAAGTTTTCAAAATCTGTCTTTAATTGTAATCGATCATCAATATTATTTTTCTTTGTAGATAATTTTTCCTGGTAAAATAATAAAAACTGTTAAAAATTTAGTATTGAATAATGTTTATTAAAGTATCTTTTTCTATAGATTTGTATAGGTAAAATAAATGATGGAACATTTTTTAGGATTAATAAAAGTATTGTAATTTCATCAGTGATCAATTGGTTTAACATAATTTTCAATAAATTACTAACAAAAATCGAGTCTATAACTAATTATTAATAATAAACAAAGCTTAAAACTTGATATCAATTGAAAGCACTTAGATTTTGAACATAATAATTGAAATGAATAATTAATATTTTACAATTAATTATTATGTTTATATTATAAACTTACAGCATTTGATATATCTGTGTTGGTGGTATGAGGTTTATAACAATTTAATTTTGATATATTTTTGTTGTTCTCCCATGCTTGCTCCCATACTTTAATATTACAAATTCTACAGTTCTGTAATATTACAAAAATACATAATATATTAAGTAGCAATAATTTAATTTTTATAAAAGGTGTAGTTAATAAAAAGTATATATTTTACAAATTATCATCAAACAATCAAAAATTGTATTATATAATAAATAATAATACATGATGTATAAATAGGTTCATAAATATTTTTCTGTAAATCAGTTTTCAAAAAATTTTAAGAGTACACCACACTCGCATGTGTTGTCTCCGTCTTACAAGTGCGTAACATGGTAAAAACTGTTTCACACAGGGAATAACCATTAAAAGCTAAATTTATAACTAAGAAACAAAATTTTCACCATATAAAAAGAGAATTTTGTCTGTGCAATATCATTTTTATTTTTTCGATATCAGAACTACAAAAAAAGTTATTCATGCTTGAAAAACACAAAAATAATGTATTATCAAACAATAAGAACTTTTTTGTATAAATAATATCAAAAAAAATAAAACAATATTGCATAGACAAAATTCTCCTTTTTATATGGTCAAAATTTTGTTTCTTAGTTATAACTGTAGCTTTCTCAGTTCTTTCCTGCGCGAAACAGTTTTTGCTATGTTACGCACTTGTAAGACAGAGACAACTCATGTGCGGATGTGGCATCTTAAAGCAACAACCTTTTTTTATCCAGATTTTAGTCCCTTAGAAAACAAATTAAAAAAAGATGAAATTAAATTTTACAATTTATTTAACGTTGCTTCAATTTTATTTAAAAACGATGATAAAATAAATATAAATTAACTATAAAAAAATATTGGTATCAAATAATTTCTACAATATTGTGTCAATTTATCAATATTAGTTGACATTTATTGAGATAGTATAAATGAAAAAAACAAATTAATCTTAAAGCTATCCATTAATTTATTTGGAAGATTACMTTTTTGTCAACTTCTTCACTTGTATAATCATCACATATTTCCAATTCAATATTGTAAATAATTCCAGATACAATCTATAATATCAATATTTGATTTGAGTTTTAATTAAAATTATTACTTAATTATAAATGTTAACTATTTTTTTCTTACTTGTTTGGATACATTTATTATTTTTGATGATATATGTGGTTTGTTTGATCCTTCTTGTTTATCAATAGATAATAAAGCATAATCCACAATTTCTTTAACTTTCTTGTCATTAGAATTTAAACTTATTTTCGCTCCAAGATTTACATTTTCATGTATGTCCTGTGCAGGGTAAGATATTAAATATATTTTACTTTTTCTTAGGTATWTTAAAGATTAATATTACTCTTTTAGTCACAGCTACGCTATCAAATGATGTAAGTTCTGAAGGTCTAGAACAAGCAACTTTAGTAACATTTTTGTTGTTCAACCATGATTGTTCCCAGATGGTTATGTCACATGAACGACAATTCTGCAGAATGTAATTATATTAAGTTAAATAAGAAACTAAATTTTCAATAAGAAAACATTATAAATACTTTATGATCCATAACAATGTTCTCGCCTTTTGTTGAATCTTTTTCACATACCAATAGTTTTATTTTATAATTTATTCCTGCAACAACCTGAAAGTTAAATAAATATTTACTAGCATTTTACCTACCTCATATATTTTTTAATATGACTGAATATTATACTTGAGACTTTGCTGAGACGACTCTAATTAACCCCAAAGATCTTTTGGACATTGTTTGTTGTGTTATAGAATCTAATGAGAAGAGAGCCAGTTGTTTAATGTTCTCGCTGTTATGGTCAATGTCATGATAACCTCCCACGGGAGATGGCTATAAAACAATTAATAACTATTTAAATAAAGCTAAAAGCTTAGTTTCAAACAAATATTTTATTTATTTTATACCAATTTAAAATAATATAGCTTTCAAAACAGTACCAAATGTTTTCCTATATTCTTATGGAGTTTTACTTTCTGATGGTGATTTATTTACCAAATCAGTTTTGTTTTTCCAATAAATTTTAATAAACATGTACAGATAATAAAAAATAATTTATATTTTCATGCTTAAAGTTACTTATGTGATATGCATCCATTAATTTATATTGATACATAAATGTTTAATACTTTTAAATATTATTAGCGGTTACAATCTATGAAATACAAAACTATTGTTAACTTTGCTGATTTAATAGGAGCAGTATGATACAAGCGTGAGAGCGTCAAGGTGTTTTATGTATACTCCAAATGACCTCCTGCACGTGAAGGCACTGAAGTGTGGTCATTATTAGTTCTAAGTAGTTAATACCTTTATTGTAGTAATGTTCTAGTTGTGTTATCCTAATCTTAAACATATTTTCTTACTATTAATTATCTATCTTTGGCTAAGGAAAAGTTAACACTAATTTTTACAGTTGAATTCTATGAGTGATGGCACCTTCTAAATACGTTAATTTTTTAACATAACACTCAGTCAGGTTAATTTCAATCAATATTACAATTAGTAATTTAGTTATAACTTATAATGATTTGATTTAACTTATATTGACCAAGGAACTAATAAAATACAATTGTTTCCTTTATTAAGAACTATAAAACTAAAAATAGAATACAAAAATACTGTATTTTTCTACCATTTTTATTTTGTATATTCTCCGTTACATTAATATGTTAGATATGATTTCCAATCTAAAGTTTTTGTTTACTAGTTTTAAATTTGCAAGTATTTTGAAAAACCATTTATTGTTCATTTTAAAAGCCTTTGTTTTAATCAAATGGTGTATGAATATTTMAATTGATATCAGAAATGTTTTTACTTGTTTTAATGTTCCATAAATATAGAACAAATTAAATCTTTCTTTATATCAAATAAAAATAATTACAAATTTTTTTAACCTCTGGAGCACTAATATAAGTACGCGAATCATGTAAGACACATTGCATTTCTACAACTTTATACATATTGTTGTCTGTCTTATTAATTGTAATTTGACATACATCGCAAACCTTTAAAAAAAAAAAAAAAATATGTATTATGTAAGCCCAAGAACAATTTAAAACACAAAAAACTCACAAAAAAATCATTGATCGATACTTTTTTTTCATGATGTATTTCTATTTCTTTTTTTTGATTTAAATCATTAAAACGACATGCTGTTACTTCTATTTTGCTTTGATCCGAAGCCTGCAAATTTAAGTTTAAATTTCCTAGTCCTATTTTAAATTATATTTTAACCTTACACGAGATATATTTCCAATTGCTTCAGCTCCAATTAATTTATGCCCATAATCTGAAAATCCTTTCATTGATTTTAGTGCAATATCTGATAATTGATTAATAAATGTATTAATTTCTTCTTTAGTATCTCTTTTTATTTTCTTATGATTGATTATATTTCTCACAGAATAATGATGATCGTAAAGCTTAGAGATTGAAAAATATTTATTATTCTCAATCTATAACAGAATAATTCAGAGGTGTAGTGGACAGTAAAATAACAATCATAAAAATGAATAGTGAGAATAATTAAACAGATAACAACCAATGGCGGTATTCTTACTTATTTTCTTTTTTTTAAATATAGTTATACATTTTTATTTCTAAACATTTTAAATAGATTACTAGTTATAATAGTTGAAACTCGAGATGAACTTTAGGGGTTTATTTCTTCATGTTGCTTCTTTGGAGTTAAACTTAATAATTAGTGTAACTACATACTACTAAGAGTCCCCCAAAATTGGCACATTGTTCTTAATTGAGACTAATAAAAATCATACAAAAGTTCAATATCATTATAAAGTATAATGAATGTTTTTCAGTGATCCATTTATTTTAAAATGTTAATATTGACAATACTTTATGATTCCTCTTTTTAGCATACAGTCAAAAAGGTTGCATATAAACAGATAATCATTAATAGCTATTGATTATTGATCTAATTTAAAAACCAATACAGATGGTCAGAAAAAATATTAATGCGTTAAAAAAAGAAATTGAAAAACTGTATTTAGATAAACATAAAGTTTATTGTATTAGGAAAATATATGTGGTTACTCATTAATTTGGACCTTTTAAATTGGCCTTAAGGACTACTCGTTAACTATAAACCTTGAAAAACATTTAAGATTTTAGAAATAATTGATAATTAAGATATTACATTGTTTTACAAATTATATTTTTATTTAAGTATTAATTGTTACCATTGGTTCAATTAATGTTTTTCAGGCAATAACAATTTGATTTGTGAATGGGGCTTACATTTTTATTTTTGAGAATAATTGTATTATTACCCAGAGTTCATACTGTAGTGGTCACACAGTTACAAATAAACAATTCCTATTACTTTTATCACAGAACCTTTTATATAAATKATTAAAAACAAAAAAAATAAGAATGATTATATAATCATATAATAAAAGTTATGTCCATTCTCATGTTAAATCATATCTATATATCTACTTCTAATCCAAGTGTTGCGCAAGCGAGTAATGTGGCCTTTGATTAATAAAACATTTTCCCAATTAAGGAGTATTTGATAATTTCCTATCAATATTTAATTGCAAGGTTAACAGAAAAATAATTGCATAATTGATGACCTAGAAAATTTCATATTTTCAACAAAAACTATATATATCTTTTTTTAAATTCTTTAAATTTAACTAAGATATTAAAATATTATTCATTATTAAATTTTTCAATTCAAAATGTAGATTTACATATAGTAAGAAGTTGGATGTTTTGAAAAATACCAAGTAAATATTTAATATTTCCATTAATGTAATGTAAACAAAATAAAGAAAAACAGAACAGTATTTTACATAATGTTTTTTTGTAATTTTAAGTTATAACTAGAGTGCAGATTTATATGCATTAAAAATCAACCAAATATGTGCTAAAAATTCTTAAATATGCATACCTAAATATATGCACGAAAATGTTAAAATGTGCACGAAAAATAAAAATTAATTTTTTAAACATTTAACTAGGTAATATAAAATATTTAAAAATATGTTCTTATCTTGGTTTACCTATTTTATTTCTCCCGATTATTGATCAAAATCATATTTGAGAAAACCGTTTATACCTATTAATTTATTTTTATATTAATCGAAACAATAAAAATATAATTTTTCTTATATAATATAATAGGTATTATGTTTTTGAAAAATACCTAACAACAAAACCGTCAAAATATGCACTAAATGATGAAACATGCTATTAAAATAGTAAAATAAGATCTTAAATAGAAAAATGTAGAAATAGGCAAACATATATGTTAGTATAAAGTTCCATTTGGGAAATTGTAGAAACAAATTTTGTGCTCACTTATTATATCATACAAACAACTAGAATATACAAATGCTTACAAATCCGGGGTCTAATTATAATTTATAAATAACGTAACTGAAAATGTTGGGTTTACTCGGATGTATGCTACTGGTTTTGATGGATTTGTTATCAGTGCTAATTTAATTTGTTTATCTAATATAAAAGGACAAATTATACCGAGTGAATTTTCAAATTTGTTAATAATTTGCTTGTATGATCTAAATAAAATAAAACAAGTAATCTAAACTTGTTTTCAAAATCTAAAACATATAATTATATTGATCATTGATCAACATCAGTAAGTTACAATGAAAATTTCTTTTTAAAATGAAAGATGGTTTGTTTTAAATGGCTGTGTGTAATTTTAAAATGTCTTATTCGTCGAATAGCAATTAGCCATAATTTTGGTTATAAATAGKACAATAGTTAATTTTGAACCATGTTATAATAGTTTTATATTTCATGAGTTGTGATTTGTTGAGTAGGTAATGAAAGATGTAACTGAAAAATTGCATCAAAATTTTAGGAGTCTGATGGTTGAAAAATCAGATAAACTTTTATTTCTTGAGATCAGTTTAAAAAAAAAATAAACAAATGTTTATCATATATTGATTAATCCACTAAAAATAATACTAACCTTGTGCGTTTGAGCAGAAACATTTTCTCCAAATAAAGCAATAAAGAGACAAAACCCTAGATATAGTAATTTCATTTTGATCGATTAATAAAGTGATTTTAAAACATTTATGAACAACTTGAAATAGCAAACTACAGAATTGTAAATAGAAACTCAAACGTTCTCACAAAGTTATTGCGTATTAGCAATGAAATAAAAAGATATTTGTTTTTGTTATTTATTTGTTATGAATTGACGACTTGTGAGTTGTGGCTATAACTATATAGGTATATAATGCCTATAAACAGACAACAGTACACCCCTTATCTGTATATGAACATTGAACGGTCGATATACTCTACTGATAACACGAATAAAGCAATAAAATAAGTAACAACATTGTCAAGACTTATAAATTATAATTATACATAGTAATTACTAATTACTATTTAATATTTATTCTTTATTGTATGTGGGGAAAACATTGTTCAACAACAATAATTGTATTGCTACGCATTAATAGTTTATACTTTAGGAGAAACGATGGCAGCGTCGCCTTTTGCTGGAGGGATGGCAAGTTGAACATTGGCACCCCTATTTTATTTAGTTTCAAACAAGTGTTACAAAATTTTGAATGTAGTTTGTTGGACGACATGGGGGGCATAGTCCATATTTCGTGAAAATATTTAAGCATACAAATTGTATTTATATTAAATTAGCACCAACCAAATTATTAAATCTTTAGGTAGGTGTACACTTTTTTTTTGCACTTTCCATCCCTGACTGTTATTATTTTTTCAAATTAAGTACATCCCCTTAGCATAAAAGTTAAAATATTTTAGATAAACCACAACAAACAAATGTAGCATATATGTAATGCTTATATTTTATGAAATATAATATAATTTATAATTTATATAATACAATATGTACGGTCAAGGCTGTAATTTTGGTGTGGCGTGTGTGGGGGGGGGTGTCAGGTCAATTTGTAATTAAAATTCAAAACATTTTTAATTTTAACATCTTTATATTGAAAATAAAATACAAGACTCCTCATGCTCGCTTTGTTTTTAATGCAAACAATAATAATTTAACAAAGCCACAATTTTTTTTTTCAAAAGATGTTGGATATGTAGAAACTATAGAAAAATAATTACAAAATTCCTCATAAGCTATAGTTTTTTTTTTTATTATTAGCTTACAGTCAGAGAATATTATAGCTCGACAATTAAATAATTTACATAATATAATATAACATTTATTAACACTTAAAAAGTTAAAAATATCAAAAGTACATAAGCATATCAAAAAAATCAATTATATTATTATTTAATATTTTCCGATTGAAAATTAATATCTACAAATGAGTTTGCATCTATTCTGGTATGAATATCTTAATAGTTATTATTCACATAATTTGGGGAAGCAAGTAATCTTTAAAAGTTAATCTTTTCAAAAAATTAGCACAATGCCTACTGCAGGTTAAATAACATAATATAATAATATAATTTTTTTTGATAAATATAAATAATAATAGTTAACATCTTCTATGGCAGTGTATACAGTGAAGTCACGACTTATAAAAATTGACAATTGTATTTTTATAGGTAAATAAATTAACTGAAACTATTAGTAAGAAAATGAGCAAGCATATCGGATAGATGGATTCAAAATTGTTAATCAACATGGACTAATGAAAGATTTAAATCTTTCAAAGTTTAACTCTATAGTTGACCATATATAAGAGACTAATTTATATTGTATAAATTAATATTTAACCACTTAAGACCAATGAGACAATGACAATATCAATAGACCAGTCCATTGAATCGCAAGGTATTTCAGAAGGCCAAAGTGTCTCAGTGTGTATGTAACACTATTTTATCATAACTTTTTGGCACCCATTGATTGTGACTATCCATAATATTACTTGCCTATAACTTATAATAGATTATTACAAATTACAATATAAAATCATCAATTGTGACTTATGAATTCAGAGGACTTAATTCCTTAGAATAATTATTTGTGAGTTGTGTGGCTATGTATTTCACGTGTACTTCATTTTGCAGAATTTTGTCCTTCAGCCAACCCACAAAAAAAAATTGTTACTCACATTATTATGTAAATACAAAATGTAAAAATACTTTATTACTACATTTAAATATACATTTTACATGTAAGCAAACGTAATGTAAAAAATAAAATAACTAATGGCCTTTGTTGCCGAAGTTGTAAACGATCAAAAAAAAAAAAAAATATATACATTTTAAAAGAAAAAAAGAAAAAAATGTACTTTGTTTCTAACTTATATTTTATTTAAATCAGATTCAGTACATTAAGTGACTTCTTTTGCTAACTTATAAGACTATTATTTAATTATTATAAATTAATAAAATAAAATCTATATATTTATTATTTGAATATATCACCTTATTGTTAGACATACTTCTTTTAAATTTGAAAAATATAGTTGATCTGACATCTAATATATACTATAATATAAAAATATTATGTCAGGTAATTAAAATAATGATGTAATTAATTTATTAAATATTAATAAAGTAAGTATGCTATATATAACTATTGACACTAGAAGGGAGTAGTTTCTATATATACATTAATAACTGTATGACACACAACGTTGAATATTTACTTTTTATTACTGTAAGGCATAATAAATTATCTTTTTTGTACATAACATCTTAACACTGTTAAGACCCAATTATTTAATTATTTAAACAATTTAAGTATTTATGAAAGTTATTTAGGCTTATAAATTAGAAAGCTGATAAAAATCAATTATTGTTCTAGTTTTATACCTTTGGTATTACATTGGATCCCAAAAACCTGGTGGTGTTGGAGCGTGATGTTGGTGTTTAACGGAGCGATGTCTTGAAAAATGATTCATGGCATTTTTGGCCTCTACAGGGTTATCATTATTTTCTTCATAAAATTTGCAACAGTCCATACAATCCCAACCATTTAACAACTTCCGCTCATTATGTTTTCTAACAGGATCTTCTTTGAATTTGTAATTAGGAAAATCATTTTTTTTATCATTCAAACCAGGAATAATATCAAAGCTATCTAATAAATTGGCATTAGGAACTTTGAATTGTTTTTTAAGTGTTGTTACATTATTTAAAACACTCATAGACACATTTGTTAGGCTGCAATTGGTTTCATCATTTGAATGATCATGTTTTTCAGTTTGATCATGTGAAGTATTTGTTTCCTTTGATTTTATAGTATTTGTTTTTATAATAGACAGTGAATTTTTACTAGGTTTGATAATTTTATTAAAATTACTTAAAGAAGTATTAACTGAATCATTTAGTTCTGTATTATGAATTATATTCCTTTCACATATATTATCATTAGTTGTATAATTTTTCAGATTAATCATCTCAGGACTAGACAAACTAGACGAGTTTAATACTGAAATGTTAGATGTTGGACTGCTAAAAGTAGTAATATCCATCTTCACCTTTTCTCTTTGCGATTGAAGCATTAATGTGGTTTGTTTGGATTTCTTTAATAAATCGGAAGGATTTCCATCACGCTTAACTTGTAATTTCCAAACATTATTTAATTTATTTTGAGATTTTATTTTGTTTTCCTTTTCAGGCCTTGTACTCACTAGTTTATTTTTAGTGCTTTCATTAAAATCTGTTTTATCTTTAAGAGACAATTTTAGAGGTGAATATGATGAATATAATTTTCTTTTCTTAGCAAATTCAATATTTTTGTTTGAAAGCGATAAGATCCATTGAGTCAATATATCAATAGCAGATGCATCTTGGTCAGCTGTGAAATTTAACAAATTTGCTAATGTTTTAACTTTTTCATCAATTTGTTCTAATCTAATTTTTAATTTAGAACAAAGACTTTGCAAATCATTAATTTTTATTTCAAATGTATTAATTTTTTCAACTTTTGACATGTTATTCATTGTTATTGTTTTTATAAATGTACATACATTTTGGCAAACATCTGTTAACATTTTTACATGAACCTCACTATCATTTGGATTATTCATTTTTTTAAACAAAATTTAATGTTGAACGAATGATACTTAACAATATAGTTACCCGTTGCCAGAACAAATTTGAACAATTTTGTAATTGAATATTAATTTGGAGACGAGATAAAATAATAAAAATGTCTTTAATTATAATTATTAGAGATTACTTACAAAAAATTCGACTATTTGAATAAAAATAAATTATTATTCTTCATGCAATATATTTTAGTCATAACACAATATTATAATTTAGTGTACAAAACAATAAACCTGATTTGTGATTACATTATTACATAAGACATAAATAATAAAATATGGCTTATACATATTTTGTTTATTGTACAATATTTTATGTTTAAAATAATTTGATATCAAAAACTGTTAACATTAACAAAATAGTAATAATAATAATAATTTATTTTATCACTATTTCAGATTAACCAACAATAATTACAATTTTAATTTATCGTCTTACAATGTGTTTAAAACTTAAAATCACTCGTTAATAAATGTTTATTCAAAACTGTGTGTGTCGAAATTTATCAAAATTATTAACAAGTGATATTTAACCGCAACTTAATTGAATTTATGTTTTATACACTCGTGTAATGTTGGTTAACATGAAAATTGATAGATGAACGTTGTTTGTAGTTGGACTTGACAAAAATTTCTGTTTATTATTTATTCGCACTGGATTTTTTAACCATAACTTAGGTTTTTAATATTTTTATTGTGATTGCGATAAAATAAATTTGTTGGGGTACTATAGTTTTTAACAAATACCTACTAAATATAAGGTTGTTACTATACATATTTTTGTTGGATGTTTAATGGCTTTTGATGGAGATGGCGGACGATATACAGGCAAGTTTTAATCTGTCTGCATGGTCACTTATGTTTTGTTATTTTTTTTATAAATTAATAAAATTATAGTTATATATTATAATTATTTATTTACTTATAAAATATTTTTGAAAATGTAACGTTAATCACTCAACATTTTAGGCTAATATTTATATTATAATATTTAAGTATAAGTATATTAACATTTACCATTTTTTCTTATCTCTATCATTTAGACATACTTTTGTAAATAACTACCCGGCAATGTTAAAATAAAACAATTATTAATATATGAATAACAAAAAATGTGTATAATTAATTTCTAGAAATGTGGTACACATTTAATGGGTCTTATATTTGGTCCATCTAAATTATATTAATTAGTAGTCATGGTATATTACTATTTAAGTATAGTAGAAAATATTAGTAATCAGCAAGACATTTTTAATTATTAGAAAAATAAATATTTTCTTGTAAGTATTTGTATAATTATGTACCTTCTTTGGTTTTAGCATATTCAATACAATACTTAAATCAAAACTATAATATTTAAGGTACTTATACTATTATCTACATTTATCAAAACAGGTAACATTTCAGACAGCATAAGTTTAGAATATGCAGATAAAACAACTACTTATATTTTAGTTTCTTTTTTATTTAATACAATATTGATGCAGTATAAAGAAGTAAAATGTTTGTATGTTGACAATGATATTGATCCTTAACTAATAAGTGATACTATTTAAGTTTTACTAACTTTTACAATCTTAGAAAATCGTGTCTGATTATGTTTTAACACGGTCAAATCCTTAGTCTTGCTGTAATATTTTTTTAATTATATCCCTAAGAATAGATTATTATTATTTATGACCATTGTTATTAATTATTTAATCATTATTTTATATACATTGATTTGTTAATTATTATAATATAGAGTTCACAGATTTCTTAAAGTAATAATTTACATATTTTATAGAGTATTCCGCGTTTGGAAATGCTATGCAAGCAAATGTACGAATCAAGGGATGCTGCTCTATGTGTGGAAGCCGAAAAAGCTTTGGTTTCATTTCAAAATAGTAATACTCCTAACACACTATCCAAGTGTCAATTGCTATTGGAACGAGCTGACTCACATTACTCTCAATTATTAGCAACTACAACCATAACTAAACTTTTATCACGCACTCCATTAACTTTGAACCTTGATCAAAGAATACAAATCAGTAAATTATTTTTAATATAACACGATTTTTAATAATATTTTTTACTTTATATCATAATTATTAAACATTTTTATTTTAGGAAATTATATTTTGAATTATTTGGCTACGCGTCCTAAATTGCCATCATTTGTAGTGCAAGCACTTGTATTATTGTTTGCAAAAATTACTAAACAAGGATGGTTTGATGGAGAAAAAGATTCCTATGCATTTAGAAATGTTGTATCTGATATTTCAGTATTTTTACAAGTAACTAAACTGTTGCAATTTTTAACTTTAAGTTGTATTATTTGGTTTGCTAGGTACTACTTAAAAAACTATTTTCTCACATTAATAGTTGTTAACAATTGTGGCATCAATTTGTATGTAATTGTTGAGCGACACAATTGATGATTCTTCAGACTTAGAAAATAATAGTTGTACTCCACATACTTAATAGAAGCTAGGAGATCCTTATACTTCAATAAGGCCTCTCAGACATTTACTCAAATTTGTATCTTTATGCTTATCATTTTTGTGGTGCTAGTTGCTACTGGAAGTCAGTTTATTTAAAGTCTAACTTTTTTCACCATGAGAAATACGCATACTTAACATATAACATTATTTTATTTAATTATTAATATTTATCAGTTTTTATTAAATAATTTTATTATTAATACAGTTTTTCTCTATTTAATTAAGTAAATTTTTTGTTATTAAAATATATGTTTGTTGTATTGTATTAGATACTAAAGTATAAATGTTTTAGGGAACGAATGTTGAACATTGCATGATTGGTGTACAACTTTTATCTCAGTTAACAACTGAAATGAACACTGTAGCTGATGTAGAATCTCACCGTGCTGTTTTAAAACATCGTAAAGTTGCATCATCATTCAGAGATACACAACTATTTGAAATTTTTCGAATGTCATGTCAAATGTTACGGGGTGCTAATAACAATCGAAAAAATTTAAATTTCACTGACGAAACCCAAGTAAATATTTGGTTCATCTAAATTATACTAATAATTTTTATGTTTTGATTAAATACATTGTTTTTTTGATTTAGCATGGATTCATGTCTCGATGTCTACAGTTAGCTCAAAATTGCTTAACCTATGATTTTATAGGCACAACTTGTGATGAATCGGCTGATGATATTTGTACTGTTCAAATACCCACAGGTTGGCGACCAGCATTCCTTGAACAATCTACTTTAACACTATTTTTCGATCTCTATCATTCCCTACCGCCTAGTTTGTCAAGCCTAGTAAGAAAAACTTTTAAAATGTACACACTTTGTCTTGTTATAAAATTAATTGTATTATAACTATTTAGGCTCTATCGTGCTTGGTGCAACTAGCATCAGTCCGACGTTCTTTATTTAGTACTACTGAAAGAGCTAAATTTTTATCTCATTTAGTAAATGGTGTCAAAGATATTCTACTTAATCCTCAGGTATTAAGATTTCAATTGAATATATATTTTCTCTTTATATTTAAATAAATTATTAAACATTTAAATGTTATATTAACTATTATTACACCCTAGTGTTATCATCGTTAAAATATTGTGTTATTATTATAATTCATTATTTTTTATGCTTAGGGTTTAGCTGATTCAAATAATTACCATGAGTTTTGTCGTTTATTAGCAAGACTGAAATCAAATTATCAACTTGGAGAACTTGTGATGGTGGACACTTACCAAGAAACTGTTGGTCTCATTGCTAAATTTACTGTTGAAAGTTTACAGGTAAAATTGTTTTATGAAATTCATAGAGCTTATTAAATATTTTAGTATATTCTAATAAAATTAAATGTTTATTTCATTATTTAACATTACATATGAATCCTAACTCGATTAATAATATAGGTGTATAATTTTAAGGTTTTTTTATACATTCCCTGATGTTTTTTTATCCAATTTAATAATATTAGTTTATTGCGGTCATTGTTGATTTTGGCTAAAATTCCAAAGTTGAAAGTTGCATACTCATAATTATAACTAAAATTTTGTTTATGTAATTTAATAGCCAATAAATATATGAAAAAATCTGTATTTATTTAGGTGTACCAATGTGCTCCAAACAGTTTTCACTATCTATTAAGTTTCTGGCAACGTATGGTAGCATCAGTACCTTATGTCAAAGCTACAGAACCTCATTTATTGGAAACTTATACTCCTGAAGTTACCAAGGCTTACATATCATCTAGGATAGAAAGTGTTACACTTATTGTAAGAGATGGATTGGATGACCCATTAGATGACTTCACTAATGTTCAGCAACAGCTTGAGCAGTTATCTGTGATTGGTAGATGTCATTATCAAAAAACATGCTCATTAATTGCTCAGTTATTTGACCAATCTGCTTCCAATTATCAAGAAATTATTGCTTCAGCTTCTGCTTCAATTTATGATCTAAAGATTCAAGAAGGTATGTAAAATAAATTTTCTTTAAGTTCAATTTGGTTTATGTTTTAGTAATTTTAAATATAGATTTAATCCAAATTTAACTGATGTTTCGTCACAATATATAGATAACGGATACAATTAAGTGAAGTATAAAATGATATTGGTATTGCGATGATGGTAGCAAGGGACAGCTTGCAAATATCTCTTTTCCTCCAATCATACTTTTTGAGTAACTCGCATTACTGAAAATATCTTCTCACCCATGTATAATTATGTTCTCTATCTTACAAACGTACCACATACCAAATTTGCATACTGTAGAACCAATTTTGTCTTGTTAGCTTTAATATTAAGATTAGAGTAGATTGACATGTAAATTGACTTAAATAATAACATTAACTTTGTCCATAAAAGTTAAAACGCAAATCGTGCCAGGATCTTGACAATTAAAACATGTTATAAACAAAATAATGGGTGGTTGCTTTCTTCGATTATAACATGTATAATGTATAATTTATTGTAAATTGTTTTTCTATTAATATTTAAAATTTACCTAATAATTTATATGTTTAATACCTTATAATATTTCTATTCTTATTTGCTTATTGTGCTTTTAAGTACAGATTG